TCATCTAATGACATTTTCCCTCTCAAAAAAATGGTTTCCTATATCTATTCTTGTTCACCCTCTTGAGCTCGTAATCTGGAACACAGAGGTCTCCAGGCCACTTAAGCATTTTTGTACACAGACTGATTGGTACATAGCTCGTCTAAAATTAAGGATTACCAGTATTCTCTATTTCTGCTAACCTTTAAACAAAACGATAAAGCTTCAAGCTATTTTAAATCTGTCAATCAATCAATCAACAACACGTATTGCCCTATCAATCAGCTATTATAAATCACTACTCATTATCATATCGATAATATCTAATCGATTGTCAATGTCAATCAAAATGTAACGTATCGTGTAAGGTTACATCATGGCTATTATCAATCGAGGAGTTGACAGAAATAAGGGCGAACGACTGGCTTTGAGCAGTAGAAGTGGTGGGTGGTTTTCACTCGGGCGACCCAGATCGGGAGGAGTCATAGGATGTTTTAGCATGTTAGGGTTTTATTGAATCCGTTGGTTTTATGAGGATTTTATGTTCACCTATGGTTTTAATTGTTATTTCATGAGAATTGACTTTATTGACGAAGCTCTGATAAACTGAAATTCCATTTTCGAAATTTTCCAAAAAATTCCGAATTACGAACGTGGATTCCAAATTAGCTTTTAGGTCAAAACAATGGAAAATTACCAATCTGTGATTTTGATTTTACGTACTTATTAGTTTAAAGCATCGTTTGAAAATGTCCGACATTAAATTGGAATTTTTAGACCTTGATTAAATACGTGTGATTAAGATTAGCTACTCAGTTTCATTAAAATCGATACAGTAGTTTCCAGGTTTTTTATTTAGAAATTTTAATGAAATATACAACTTATATATGTATTGGAATACTATGTGTTGTTATATCAAACTCAGTGGTCGACCGCGAGACCTCTTACTCAATGTGATTCTGCAAGTAATCGACCAAGTAAAATTGTCAATATCAATCAAAAACTTTAAAGAATCGATTCTCGCAACTACTGCGATACCGATCAATTTCGGCATCGATTTCTCAACTCGATTCTCCGGATGCATTGTTGCAATGAATTGGTAAAGATTGTCATTGTGGCATCCCTGGAAGTCGCCATTGTGTTGTTACGGAGAAGCGACACTTCCTACTTTAATTCGCTATTGTTCTTCGTAATTGGGGGTAGGGTTACCAAACCCTGGATTTATTGTGAGTAGGTGGTAACTTGAGTAGGTGTTTGCTAAATGATTTATAGAAATTCTTTAGCCAGTGCTTTTAATATTATGTAGGTACTTAAGAATTGTGTTATTCTTATTTCAACTGGTGCGAATATTTGTTGTAACAGTAACTTCTGTGTGAAACAAGCGAAACGAAATTGCATCTAATAATATTAAATTTTTATTTAAAAATTCACTCAGTTTTTAATTTCAAGTGTATTAAAAACAGCCGGGGTTGCGGAGTAAGCGCAATGAGGCACCGCGACCTCGGCTCAGAGCAGGAGAAGGAAAAGGGGGGTTTTTAGTCAGTAAAAGTCTGACAAACCCTTACCTGTTCAAATTCCCTTCCATCTCCCTCCCTCCTTTATATCTCCAATCATCAAATCCCTAACCCTTTGTCGTTGCATGTGTCTACGGGCTTACCTATAACTTACCGTCAGATGAAACGTCGGCTCGTTTGCCACCCTATCTCATTAAAAGAATACGATTTCAATCTTAAAAAAAAAAAACTATTCATTTATTCGCCACAATTACCACTACAGAACTCAAAAGATCCTTCAACTAGATAGGTTCAATTCCACGTCGTTTTTTCAAACGTTGCCCTTTACTAATAACTGCTTACACCAACATGTGCACATAGCGTGAAGCATTCCCTGAGAACGGACTAGGGATGCACGTAATTATAACATTATATCGATGTTCTTTTTTCTCTTGTTTGACGAGCTAATAGCGAAATGGTCTAATTTGGTGCGAGGTGAGAAAATTAAGTGTGTTTGCGTTAATGATGGAGTTTATTGCTTGAAATCATCGTGAGTTGCGTTAATAAAGGTGTTTTGTTTTTTATTGAAATATTATCGATATCGATAGTTTTGATTCTAAATTTGTGATTTGTAAAAATTACACTTGAATAATTTCTCAAATTTAAGTTTTCTTAAACGTTAAAAAAAGAATAATTTAAAAAGGTCTAATCTATTGTTTGATACGCATATATTATGCGTGTAATTAAACACATTAACGCATACGTAATTTCTCATATTTTTAGTTCATTCACCACTATGTAATTACGATTTAATAGATAACGGTATCTATTTTAAACTTTCACACGAAAAGCCGTTATGGTAGCGTCTTCATATTCTGATACGTTTTCTCATAAAACTTTATCTGATAATAATGAGCTGATGCACCACAAGCTATACTAAACTAAAAAAATCTTTCAATCAGTATAAACTCTTACTGCTATGTTATAAAGTAGAAAATCCATTGATAATAATTCACGTATTGGTGAACTTTTATATGCATGCGTTGTAATGACGTAAATAATTTATAATGAAGATAATTCCTAATTAAATTCTTAAGTGGGAGATAACGTTTAACACATTATTTTGTTCGTTAATTAACCAATAAACATGACTTGTATTAATGTTTTAGTTCAAATAAGAATAGTTAATAACGTTAATAAGTGTATATTCAGAACTCTTTGAATTGTACCGAAACGGACTTCGTTTTTTTCCAATTATTTCTGTTTTACGTAGGTACCTACCTAAGTTTTATCTTTTATTTTAATAAACAGTAATATTCCGATCAAGATATTTGAAACGAAATGTTTTGTCGATCAAAAAAAAAAAATACTACTTTACCGTAATTTCCAACTAGTTAAATTCAATAAATTTCAAAAACGATAATTTTCGATAAAATTTGTATGAAACTCCAAATCATGACGTCATAGTATTTGTGCGTCAAAAAGATTACTTATTTCTTAAAAATTGGCTAAAAAAAATCAAAAATTTTGTGTATAGACAGATCGATGAATAAAAGTATCGTTATTTTACAATATTTTATTGTATTGAAATATCGAATTAAGTAATTTATTTTTAACCTCGGAAACTAGGTGTCACTTTAAAGTCAAATACACATCAAGGTCAAATAGTATTGAAGAACCTCAAAATTAATTGAAACATTTTAATAACTACCTTCAATTTTCTCTTTTCTTTTACAACGCCAAACAGTCCAAATCGTTGGGTCACTTCACACCAAATTAACAAATTCACCATGAAAATAACCGTAAAAATTTTACTTACTTCTTAAAACCACCCATCGGTTCAATCAATAACAATTTACAACGACACTTTCGCTATGAAGTTATCGATTAAAATTTGTATTTATCGATAGAAAAGAAAGCGTTGGTACGTCACTAGTTATTAATATGCATGGCGAGTTGCAGTTAATGTGGTGTTCCTTATATTTATTCTATGTACAGGTTGTATTAATTTTCAAATGGTCTGCAAAGATGTTTTCTTTGAAGAGCTATGCGTATAATTATTTATTAGCTACATGCTTGCGCTGTCTTAGTTAAATTTAATGATGGTGTTAATGTGTATGTAATTTATGTCCCTGCTACAGTATTTTCTATCGCGTGCTTTTGTAAAGTGATTTATTTTTTTATTCAAATCTAAGTTTTAATTCATGATATTTAAACTTTTTTGCTAAGCTAATCTGATTTTGCTAATCAGAGTCGGGTCAAGTGCTCAGATAAAAAAAAATGTGTTGATACTTATTTATAAACCTTGATCCCTCTAGCCCTTTCCACCTTCGTACCATCAAACAATCGGCAAAACCCGGTTCGCCTTCAGTTTTATAAAGTGAACTGCTAAGGAGTGGAATTCTTTGCTGGAGTTTGTGTTACCCAAAGGGTATATATGTATAACCTGGGTTTCTTTAAGGCCCGGGTGAGTAGGTCGCTTATGGGTACAACCAGGCGTGCCAATACCCAAAAGCCTGCCCATTTCAAAACAAAAAAAAATATTTTGCAAAATAAATCAGTTTCTAAGAATAGTTTTTTTTGTGTCTTGACAGAGCGAATGTCACTTAATATTTGGTCGGTAAGGTAAAAATTAGAGGCACACAAACATCAGCAAAATCACCGAAAAATTTCACTTTAAAACCGATCTATGGAAATCATAGTACAAACAGATAATGACTCAACACTACGTAATGAAAAATGTACAGAATCATCAGTCAAAGAGCTTATAAGATACCTTAAAACACTTTCTAATAGTTACGATGTAATTATGAGTTTCAAAGTGTGAAGTACGAACTACTAGACGGTTTCTAAGATAATTATTAGAAGTAAAAGTTGGATGGTTCAAGTACTATGCAGTTATCTGGTTCAGTCAGTTGGAACAATCTTAGTTAACGTATGAACAAGTCATGGTACAGTACTGACTTAAGTATGACATCTTGGTTTCTAACTTTAATTGAGCTATGGGAAAGCATTTGGTCGATCAACGGTGAAGGACAAGCTGAACAAGGCTAGGTAAGGAATTATTAGTTTTCGTAATAGGTATGGCTCGATTTTGAATATTTTGAAATGCACTTTCTAAATTCTGTTATTATCAAACAATAATTTAGGACAGGGAAAATTTTGAAATGCACTTTCTAAATTCTGTTATTATCCAAATGATACGAAATCAATAGTATTTTGATCGGACCGAGGCTTTCATCCTTGGTACTAAATCATCTTTTTATGGAGGTAGGTTGATGGATTGTCTGATAGTAAGCAAATAGCCCATTAACAATATAAACGAAATATATTTTATGCCGGTCTTCGTTGATTACTCATCAAATAATTCGACGATACAAATAACAACAGTAATGAAAAAAGTGTAATAATTGTTGGCTAACCTATTTAAATAAGTAAATAAATAAGAAAACTTGTACATCAACCTTTTATTTGAAGTTTATTTTCTTGTTGTTACAGTTATCACCACACAATTTCTATATCTATCTATTAGTCAAAAATATGCGAGAACTGAACCATAGCTACAGTGTATGTGGCCAAATGGTTGACAACGCTCAGTATCAGGGTTCCGTCTACTGTGAATAGACGCCACACTGTATACTTGAAGGGCTGGTGTCGGAAGAACAACATGGCGTCTTCTATAGTCTCTAGTGTGGACTGATCTGAAATTGTGCGAAAAAATATTATGACTTGTATTTATTTTATTAAGCTTTATGCACATTAATGTTTGTATATAGACTTGATGCTTGACCGGAGGCCCAATCCTTCCCCTAATCCCTAAAAAGTAGGCAACACACTCGTAACTCCTCCGTTGCGAGTGTCCATGGGCGGCGCTGATTGCTTACTTTCAGGTAATCCGGGTGCTCGTATGTCGACCTATTACATAAAAAAAATGCTATTAGCATTATCTACCAATCTAACTTTTGAGTGATGCAGACCTTTGTGTTGATGAATGTCTCAGTACAGATCCCAAAGCATATTTTGAGAAGACCGCCAGACTACATCTTTTATAAATATACATTTCTAACTCACCTTTACAAAAAAGCATTTGTTTTGCTACATGTAGCTTCATTTGATCTATCTCCTTGTTTACCATCTCGGCAAAGGCGGCTGGTGCCAGGGACACCGTCAGTTTCACCAAACATTCCATAAAAGCTGCCTTCTGGCTCTGTAAATGACATATCATCTTCGTCATTATTGTTTGCATAATTTACCACGGGACATTTGCCTCTCCAGTGGTAAACCTTAAAACCTTTAACTATAATGGTTGATTCATCAACAGTAAGTCTGGGATTTTTTTTTTTTTGGCAATTGCATCTTCAGATTCCCAAAAAACCAGCAATGTACTTGTAAGTCCTCTTTACTGTTGCGGTTGCAGAGATTGCTAACAATAATGTGATCCCGTGATCCCTCTGCTCATTCTTGCCATTCTGTGTTAATAAAATTATAATATGTATACGTACACTCACCCCTCCAAAATTTGTAAAAATGAGGTGAAGAATGTCTAATACCATCGGGAATACCGTCAGCTCAGTTAGAAAAGTCTGAAAAATAAACATTTCGATATAATACCAATATTTATGATATGGTAGCAAATATCAGCACAGAAACACAGATTTCAAGAATGGAAGAAAGATGAAAGAGGGAGCCACGCTTCAGCACGGCCTCACAGAAAACCGGTGTGAAACAATCATGGCGATGTGTTTCGCCGTGTGAGTTAGGTTTACCGGATGCACAATCGTTTTCCCCATCCCACCCTAATTCTTAAATATCCGAAGCTCTTGTCCCCAAAAGGCAGGCAACGCAGTCGTATCTTCTTTGGTGTTGCGGGTGGCCATGGGCGGCGCCGACCGATTGTTTACCATCAGGTACTCCGTCTGCCCATTTGGCGACCTATTTCATAAAAAAATACCTTACCAATATTTTCAACGCATGGTTATCCCGTTGAATGATGTTCAATAATCTCTTGTAAATCATCATACAATTCCTGATTCTTTGTTTCAAGAGCTCTCCGTCTTCCATTCTTGACATACTCATTTCTTTTTCAAAGTGCTTGCAAATCAGTTGCATGCGATGCCACATCGATTCAAATATCATTATCCTCGAAAAATGTGACACAAATAAAGCTAGGTCAAATACAAGAATATACAATAAGCAACCAGGATTAAAGCCCCCACAGAAAGTTAAATGCGTAAATGTTCTAGCACAAAATCCTATTACAAGGAAGATTCTAGAAAACGGTATCTCATCTTCAACTCTTTCACCTGGTATTAAGACATCAATTTGCCTAATTTCACTTAGGATCGACGTGAAATTTCCAGAGTTGAAGCAAATTCCAACCAAAACATTGGCGATGTAGAGTACAATTTGGCTGAGCAAGCGAACTTTTGTTTTATGAGTCCACTCTAAGACAATGAATAAATGAGAATTTACTAGAATGGTTGCTATAATAAGGCAGTATATCTTCAAAAAGAATGCTATATATTTGTTGGAACTGATCTTATGGTAGACTCCACTGATAATAAGGAATATTAACATAGTCTGAACCGTGACTGTTGATTTCCAAGGATTCATCGTTCCTGACTTTATTTATTTTATTTTACTGATAATACGTACACAATGTTGGTAATATACATAGGTTTGAAACGTACATACAGAAAACATGTAACATGGTATTGACGCGGCATTTAATACAGGCTATATTTGTAATGTCATCTAAATAATTAAAGTTTTACTTAGTTAATAATTACAGTACAGTCGACAAACAATGTTCTGTAGATTTTTTTTAACAGTCGTACTCACTATTATTCATGGGTTATTCAGTCCTTATCAATAGCTTTCATTATCGAAAATAGAATCGTTACTAAGGAATGATTTAAGAGATCATTAATTGTCTCTGAATAGGAGAGTAAAATAATTATTTTTGCTATATACCAACGTTTAAATTGAAATGTATAATAAAAATGAAATACATTTGTATATTAAGCCAGAAGAATTTTAATAATGATAAAACAAGCAGGGGAAACTATTTTTATATTTTTTTAATGACTTTAGAATAAAATATTTCCATTTTAAAGAAATACAATTTATTAGTAAAATTAATTCCATCATCGTTTAAGTATGACAAAAATTAAGATAAATGAATAAAAATACGTACATGCGTTGTACAGAAAAACAAATAACTTGCATTCCTCTGCGTGGGCTTCATAAAACTTGATGTGAATAATTTGTTACCATCCCATGATGCGTCCCTTGATAGCCATTTATAGTGAGGCTCCGATATCGATAAAGTAATGATATTCAATTTTCGATAAACATATTTTGGTAACAATAATTAAGTTTTGAAGTATTTTGTTTTTAAGTAATTTTTATTACCTACTACTAAGAGTATTTTTGAGGAGGAATTAGACAAGAAAAAATGAGACTTTCAGACTACCAGGTAATGACTAAAAACCACCTCATTTTTCCATTGCACTCTGCCTCATTACTAGTAAGTGTGGGAGAGTCATACGTCGGCACGATAAGCTGGTTCAACCGAAAGTGATGTGAGTCCATGGCTTCACAGATTATCAGCGTAAAACAACAATCAGTTGTATTTCCCCGTATAAGTAATACATATATCTCTTTACCGGAGGCCCAATCTATAAGAAGAAACAGCGTTTTCAATAATTTCCTCTTAAACAAATGACTTTCTCCAGACTTTGGTGAAGCGAGATGGACCAAACCGAAGCCGCGATACATTACGACCCTCGACCCGTACACGTACCTATAGGTATGCTTACTATAAAAACTTTGTAAACTTTTGTTTATCGATATTAATTGATCCCATCACTATGGAGTAGGAGAGTCATCGTAAACACAATAACGAAACTTATTAACATTCACACGCGCTATTTAACATGCCACCGACGAAATTCAGGAGAAACTGCATTTTACTTCACAACGCAGCAGTCACTGGCAGTATTAAGCATACATACGTATATCACTTTATATGAAAGATTTTTTTATGAACTTCTACAAATTAATTAATTACGTATAGGTACCATGATTTATTTGGATCTGCATAATATATAGCTGAAGAATTTGTGATAATCTACAAAACTACTGGTTCGTAAGAGAATTTATCGATGAAGGGTATACGTTAAAAAATTTCACGCTACGACCAATAGGAATAGAGCAGCTGGTGAAATAGTGCAGGCGTTGCTAGTTAAAATAAATGCTGATGTTCTTGAATTGGTTAAGATACGAAAATTTTAATTCATATACCTACTGCAGTACACAATTCCGCAGTAAAGAATCGCCTTCAACTCTGTGTGGAATACATGTGGAATACCTTTTTTTGTGGATTTTTATGTGGAATACCTCAATTTTCTCATTTATGACGATGCAGTTTGACGTAGAACATGTATTGTGACGTCACAATACACAGTCTCATACAAAATTCAAATCAAATAAGGAACCGTCAAATTGTACGTCTAAACGTATTTTTTAAATTTTATTTTTACGGTTTATTGATTTTGTTCAGACGATTCAACATTACTATTGAATTTGTTTTGTTGCCTAATTGCTTTATTTTAAAAGCCCATAAAGATGCTAATATTAAAACTGATCAGCCGTGGTTGTGGTCTCCATTATCAAATCTACTTACGCCTTCGTGACAAAAAATCTCGATCCCACACAATATTGCTATAGTACGATTCAAATAATCTTCTGCAGTCACGCTCCAATTTCCCGAGTCCCCGATCAAAATGGAAATAGAAAGTTTAAATAATGACAAATTGCACCAATTACCGATTTACTAGAATTGCTTTATTTTATAAATTACTGAACCGAATTGATGACTCGGTTGTTTATTGGCTTATGGTGTTTCTGTCCCTTCATTTTTGGACCTGTGTTCACCTTTATCATCGACAGCCTCTAATTTTCATTGCTCGGGTCTGCTGTCAGCGAGCAAGGATATCTCGCCGCCCGACCAGATTCAGGCTCGGATGTGCGGCGCGTAACGTAAAAACCCTATTGACTACAGTGAAGTAATAAATGTACTTAGTAATAAGCAACATTGTAACCATTAGGTAGTCGACAATAAACGCTTGTCTTGACCAGACGTATTTCCTTTCGCTCCACAACACCTTTCATATTTCAACAGAAATGGCGCCTAATGTAGCCAATGCTTAGCTGGAGTCACCTGTCAAGCACAATAAGGTAGTATGGTAGTTCAGCCTCAGCTCAGAGCAGGAGGAGAAACGGGGGGTTTTTAGTCAGTAAGAGTCTGCCCCTTCTCTCAGCATACCCTGGGCGGGAGAAAAGAAGAAGAGAAGACTTCGATTTTGTTCTTTAGTTTTAAAAGTCTTAAACGCCCTTATGATGTTACTAGTGTCGTTAAGATACTCGCGGGAATCCAGAAGCTCATTACTCCATTAAAAAATCATATTTGCATTATAGTTTTCACTCATGAAATAACCAACGACTTTTAAAGTAATTTAATTTTGTTAATGTTCCTAATGCTCTATTAAACAGTACGTAAAACGTTAACAATATAAGTTATATAGTCAATAAACAATATAATTTTTATTTACGTGATGTACAACTACAAGGTATTTTACCCAATGTATATTTTTTATCGCTGCATGAATATATTAGCATGCAAAATCAATATGGCGACGTTCTTTGAATGCAATTATGGATACATTGTTGTGCATGACTTTTCGAAATATAAAAAAAGTCTAATGCAAACATCGTTCATGTTTTTTTTGTGAAGTGAAAATCATCGAATGGCTTCTTCCGCCCAGGGTGGGGCGGGAGAGAGTGTCAGAGTCTTACTGACTAAAAATCCCCCTGTTCCTTTTCCTGCTCTAGGCCGAGGTCACGGTGCCTCATTGCGCTTACCCCACGACCCCGGCTGATCATCAGCCCTATAGGGCCCCGTCTGTGGTGGTCTATTGGCTCTTTGAGACGCGCGCTGAACGCTACGCGCCGTACGCTCGGGTCTGGTTCTCGTCGGGCGGTGAGCTACCCTTACTCGCCGACCGCAGACCCGCGCTTACGGTGGCTGGAGATCGTTTCTCGTCTCGTTCATATTTGGGTTAAAGAACTACCTCGTTAGCCAAGTAGAGCTTTGTTTTAGTCGAGAGTTCAAAGTTATAGACCTTAATGCTATTAAGCATAGGTCAGCTCGACCCAAGTGATACCACTGACTAAAAGAAAACTGGCGTGAAACTTCCATAGTGTTGTATTTTGCTATGTGAGTGAGGTTATAGGGGGGCAGAGTACAATGTGAAGATGTTTTGTAATAGCGTTGGTTTCGGCAAACGAGCAGACTTATTACCTGATGGTAAGCAATCAGCGCCGCCCATGGACGCAATCAACATCAAAGGAGTTGTTGTCAAGTGCGTTGCCGGCCGGTTTTTCTGTGAGGCTGTGGTATCACTCTGGTCGAGCTGAACCATTCGTGCCGAAGCTTGGATCTCCCACACTTACACTGCTCTAGTGGGTGTGCTCATTTTATTGGAGATTTGAGGATTGTGGATGTGAAAGAAGGATTGGGCTAGATTGAAATTTAAAATAAAATAAATATAGTTTTTAAACCAACGCCCTCAAATATTATACCTACATATTTCTCTCGCTTTTCGTAATGCTTAAACAGAAATTCGCAAACCATTCTTAACGGTAAAACATATGAAACATCATATAAAGCATTCTAGATCTGAAACTTAAACCCTTAAGTCTAGATACAGGCAGCTAACCTACAAACCAAACAATATTATGAACCGTCAAACTAACGGAAACATTAATCAGGCCCGACAAAGATCAGTTTATATATTATGAAGTGAACTCTATTCATGAGTTAAATTCCACCCATTATGCTGCCCAGTTACTTAACACGCATTAACTATCATACATTAATAAAATACTTACTGGAGATACCTCGTAAATTGTATTTTAGAACCAGTTCAGAAGTCCTTCTGTGATTTTATCATCTCAAGTACTTATTACTTTTGTAGATGATTCTAGGTGAAATTTAGGGTGTAAGTAAATATTTTTTTTATCTTTACCAGCTTAGGTGTTGTTGTGCAATATGAGCCCTTACCATAGCTCGAACGGCGGCGACCTCTCGCGCCCGGCCTTAGTCGAGGCCATGGTGCGGAGTGAGAGGAACTGGGACGCCGTCTCCTCCTTTTGTGAAGCAGTCATGCTCGCAAAGAGAGAGGCGGCCCGCGTGAGGGAGCAATCCTCCTCCTCACGCCCCAGCAGCCGCAACTGGCGACACTACGGGCGTCGGGGATCGAGGGACGATCTCCGGCCACCGTAAGAACGGGCCTGCGGTCGGCGAGTAAGGGCAGCTCGCCGCCCGACCAGAACCAGGCCCGAGCGTACGGCGCGTAGCGTTCCGCGCGCGCCTCAAAGAGCCAATAGACCACCACAGACGGGGCCCTAAAGGGCTGATGTTCAGCCGGGGTTGCGGGGTAAGCGCAATAAGGTACCGCGACCTCGGCACAGAGCAGGAGAAGGAACAGGGGGGTTTTTAGTCAGTAAGAGTCTGACACTCCCTCCTGCCCGGCCCTGGGCGGGAGAAGTCATTTGATGATTTTCCCCTCACAAAAAAAAAAACCATAGCTCGAAAGTAGACGAAGTATCTCGACAAACAAAACCCAATGTGAGTAAGTTATATTTTGTAAGAAAAATCAAAAACAGCTTTGATAACATTAAAAGAATAACATTTAGGTTACAGAATATTGTAAGTATAAGTAGATCTTTAGAAATTCGTCGCCATAATTCATGGACGTATGGAAGATTTTTTTTAAACGTTGCCCTACACTAGGATTTTTCCTGTGTCGTGGGTTTATTTACATACATACAATTTCACATGCACATCACACTCAGACCCGGAACAACAATCTGTGGATCACACGAAGGGTTGTTCGCCAGCCAGTTGCCCAGCCACCGCGCCAACCGTGCAGTCTTAACGCAGATTAACATGGCAGCAACATTATATCACTTAATAATAATAAAAAAGTACACGAAAAAAAACCATAAACACTTTTGATACAAAATTTATAAGTAAAGCGAACGAAAAAAACAAGAAGTTACTTACACACAATATTTATTAAATTTTTGTTAAACAAACAATTACAAGATACTTATCGTTACTTTAAAAATACACATATACTCTATGTTTATTTAGATATAAGAGGGCCAAGCTATGGTATCGGTGTGACACCTAAGGCTCACAGAAAACCGCCGTGAAAAGTCACTTGCGTATTTTTTTCAAGGTACTTTAGAGGAGGTCCATTACCTCCAATGCCGCATTCCTCAAATGTCTACTACTACCTCCCAAAAGACTGGCAAAGCACTATGAAACTCCTCTGATGTTAATCCGATAATCAGGTAATCCGATTAGGTATTAATCAAAGAAGTGCGCAAACGACACCATAGCCAGTACGTAAGTGGTTATAAGACTAATAATGGTCAATATCAGTTCGCCGTCTACTGTGAATATCCGCCATACTGTGTACCGGAACGGTTGAATTTCGAATATCATCATGGCGTCATCTATGGCTTTGTTTGTAGACTCATCTGAAGTGTATGAGAATAGTGATTTTAGTAAGATGATTGTTTTTGAATAGTAACTATCGTGAGTCATACTAAATTAATTGAACATAATTGACCATGTGTGTGAAAAATGACATCTATCTTTAATTGAAAATAACGACTTAATCACGTGAATTAATTGAGAAAAGCTCGACTAGTTTCAAGTCAAAACGGGACTCTTATTCATAAGCAGCGTGCACGTCGCGGCCACGCCGCCAGCTTACTTGTGTGACTTAGAGCTAGTTGAGCTTTTCCCAGTTATTCACGTGATAAAGTCGTTATTTTAATTAAAGATTAATATATTTTTTTTCAAATTTAATATTTTTCAAATGTATCATTGGTGTATCTTGCTACTTCTTTTCCATATGTGCCTGTGGCTTGGATCGACCTCCTCTCACGGACAGGTTGTCGGACAACTCAATCTTAGCATTTTACAAGTGTCTATTTATGGATAAATTGAAATAAATTATTAAACACACAATTTCACAAACACGCCGAAACCGGGACAACAATTTGTGGATCACAGAAGGAGGTGCGGGAATCGAAACCGCGACAGCTGCCATCGCCAAGCCACCGCGCCAACAGCACAGATACATTGAGAAAAAGATTTTTTTAATATTTACAAACCTACCTCGGCACGTGACTAGCTGGTTGATAAGAGCCAGTTTCATTTTATCTATTTCACTCTTGATCATCTCTGCCAAAAATGCTGGACATAGCACCAATATAAAATCCATTACAATTTCAATTGACACTACTTGGTTTTTCTGAAATGATTTTGAATATATTAATACATCACCAAACACAACTCATACAAAATGTAAAATCCGGGGTGTAAGTGCAATAATGTACCATGACGATGAAGGAACAGGGTCGATTTTAGTGACTGGCACTCTACCACACCGCGGTATTTTGTGAAATCTACATTACTTAATTGGCAAATTGATTTTTTTGTGAAATGTATTTTAATATTGAAATGCGTGTGAAAATTAAAAACATAATAACTATGTTTTACCATAACATTATATATATATTTTTTTAAATATAATGTTTCCCGGTGATTGATAATTTATTTTGTATGATATTTCTTTATAATTCTATCAAAATACCAATTAAATGATGATTGCATTTTGCACCAAAACGCTGTGGCACTACCGTCGACGAAAGACTTTCCGGCACTATTTTTCTACAGAAGATAGCACCGTCACCATGGCAACCATTAAACCGATTCCAATGCCAATATTATCAGAACGATAGACGAGTTTTCTTATGTTTTAAAACCAGCTTAGAAAAATTTCAAAGAATAATATGTCTTAACATAATTGTTTTTTTTATACAAAAATTTTAATGAGAAGAAAAAAAAGTTCTGACACAGACTGTCAGAATTTTTTACTGCGGTCAAATAGGTAATAAATATACGCAGTGTAATGGAATAAAATTATTAATGCAATACACACGATTACATTCTTGATAACCAAATGAAAGTAGATGCTGCTCAGCGTCTTGACAATCAGCTGAACACAGGATAGTAACATCTGAAACGATTTAAATAACTTAAAAAATATCAAATATCTACCAAATTGTTTTTAAACAATTGCCAAAATATGCAGTAGCGTAAAATAAAGTTAGTAGTTAAAATGTATTTAGGTAATTCATCTAAATTTACTAAAAATAACGACTTACTCACCTGAATTAACTGAAAAAGGTTCTACTAGACACAACGGGACTCTTATTCATGAGCGAATAAGGCTTATTCATGAGCGAATACGGCTTATTCATGAGCGATGTCGCGCAGTTAACTGGCTTGAAGCTAGTTAAGCTCTTATAAAGACTATCGTGTCACATGCATGACAGTTTTTATTAAAAAAAAAATTCAAAACTGATTCATCATTCATTTTTCTCTAGACTCTAGACTAAAATAAAAATATACTTTACCGTCATTTTCATTGGCGTATCAGTTTCACGTATGGCATTCAACAAATCCTTGTATGTTCTCAAACAGGAGCCGATATTTCTTGCTACAATTTCTTCTACTTCATCGAAACAGTGAGCACTGGATAGAGTCTTCTTAAGTTGCTTTCGAAGTATCATCATTCGGTACCGCAATATCTCGAACACCATTATTCGAACAGAGTTCGATATGTATACAAAAATTTCAACCACACATATTACAGAAGCTACAGATATCAATTTAAATTCGTTTTCTTTACTTGAATATAAATATAAAACATGTACATTTATTTTTACAATTATAGTAATAAATATTACAATCCTAAAATAGCATATATCATGTTTTACTTGTAAACCTAATACGGTATCAATTTTTCTTATCTTCTTAAGAAAAGGGTAGAAATTTTCGCCTTCATATAATAAATTTATTATGACATTAATTAAGTAATCAATTGCCAAGATTAAGAACCGACCAACTGCTAAGCTTATGAACTCGTGCATTGTTATTATAGCAATAATTAAGATAAATACACAAATAGAAACACAGTAAGCTCTTAATACGTTGCTGATCAATTTGTTCGAACTTATGTTGCTGTAGAAGCCTGCTAGACATCGGACAAGCATCATAGTTTGTGTAGACAATATTGTTTTTATGATATTCATTTTTCCAAAGATATGTATATTAACAAAATTGTGCCTTGTACGTACCAAAGATAGTACAATACTGACGTGGTATTGATAGTTCAGTTTAATTATATATCTATCTTTTTTAATTACAGTTGCATGCCTTTTTATATAATTATGTATACTGAAGCTATTACCGCTATTTTAAGTTCAAAGAGTACAAACACGGCGCGGGTTTCCATACGAAGTTTAAAGGCTAAAAACATGGAAACCACTGAACACATTTTGATGAAACTTGGTAGTCATCCGGGATCATTTTTTTTAACAATTCACGTGTGTGACACATAAACAAACAAAAATTGTAGTAGTCTGCAATAAGAAACACAAAACGAGAAGAAAGTACATAAAAGTCAAAGTCAGTCAAAGTCAAAATCAAAATCATTTATTCCAACTAAACCATAAATAGGTACTTTTGAAACGTCAAAATAGAGAAGTAGTCTGTCAGTCTGTTCGTCAGTAAAGCTAGGTGCTCATTCCAAATTGTGCAAGAAACTCCATAACGGGAAATATGCGTCACAACCACGTAGAATGGTCATCCCTCAAACGTTCGAAGATAGAGAGATAGGAATAGGCAATTTCAAGTGTATATACAGACAAAAAAAGGGAAGTGAAAGGAAGAACAGAAATAATGTAACTGTAGGTACCAAGTGCGTTTATTTTGACATTCATTAAAAAATAGGTAGGTAAGACTCAAACATTCAAAATACATTTTAAAATCTAAAGTAAATTAAAAAAAGAAAGCTAGCAAATCATTAAATATTCTGAGAAATTATTTTAATGTATAGACAACTTACTTAACACACTACATTAATAATTACTTTGACTATTTTTTAATAGTAACAAGCGTGAAATATATTAAATTTATTGAATAACAACTTACTAAAACGACCCATGATTACGATAAAACTAATAAAAATTAAGACCAAAAAACATTTACACAATAAAATGGCCGAACTGTACCATGGCTACAATATAAGTAGTCAAAAGACCAATCACACTCAGTATCAGAGTCCCGTCTACTGTGAAAAGACGCCACACTGTGTACTTGAACGGGTGTTGCTTGAAAAATGTTATGGCGTCATTAATCGTCTTTCTTTTAGAATTCGCTGAAAGGAATATAAAAATAAATTGGTTAGGATTGTTTATAGATTTAATCTGAGTAATATTATATATGTGAAAGTTTGTGAAAATGTATGTATGTATGCTTGTTATTCTTTCATGCGAAAACGGCTGGACCGATTTGATTTAAATTTAGTATTTAGATAGGTGATACCCTGGATTAACACATGAAGGCTGATTTTTATCGACATACCACTCGGACAGAAGCTAGTATGTGTGTATAATGTAGTGTGGTTCAAAGATAAAGGCGTCCGTTTCCAAGCAAGAGGATTAGAAACCTGATAATTACAATTGTGTTTTTTTCCTAGTTATATGTGCCTTCTAACATTATTTGGACACTATTGGGATACGAAGAAAGCATAATTGTCTCGTTATGAAACTTGGTCTTATTTTAAAACTAATTATGAGTTTGAAATCTCCAATTGGCTATTAGCAAGTGTGGTGATATATTTTCATTTTTTCTCGGTGTCTCAAGAGGGCTTTGCTCAGCAGTTGGCATTTTAAGAGTGAGGATGATTATTTTTAACCGACCTCTTACTGTATATGTATAGTCAGACAGACCGATGGACGAACATTGGACAAATAGGGTTCCCGTTTGAGTACAGAACCCTCAAAAGGTGTGTCATACAAATCTAATTATATCTCACCCTTACAAACTAGCAACCGTCGTACGATGCATAGCTTTATTTTCTCAATTTCACTATTAATCAGTTCACATAAAAACGCCGGTAACAATGTTGTACACAATTCCAAAAATACTTCAATCAGAAGGATATAATATTTCTGTAAAATAAAGAATCTATTTCATTTCACCATCACTTTATATTATAAAACAGAGTCGCTTTCTTAGTCCCTATATCGGTATGTATGCTAAACCTTTAAATCTACGGTTTTTTTTAATATAGATCTTATTTGCGTCTCTTTCATTTGTTAATCAATTTCAGCTCGTTGACTTAGGGTGCTTTTCATTTGAACCCTTTTCAAAGTATCGGCTATTTATTCGCTATGTATCCAACTAGGGTGCCTTCTTCTGACTTCTAGCATCCATCCTTTTAATATGACCAAACTACATTAATATTCCTTTTTCAATTTTTGTCATTACATTTTGCCCTGACCAAGTTTTTAATTATCTCTATCTCTTTTTATTAAAATAACTATAATTGTAATACTTACGGGATATGTTATACGAAAAGAAAAATATAAAAATATATTTATCATTGTATTGAAGACTAAATGTATTAAAGACAGAAGTATCTGAAACAACAAATTATCATTAATTAAATAATAGATATGGTGCTGGTCTTACTACCTTCATATAAGTCTTCAAATTCATCTAGTACATTGTGGATATGAAATAACAGCCCCTATTCTTAAGAGGGGAAAATTATCAAAATTAAATGATTCACCCGACCTAGGTGAGACGAGAGGGAGTGTCAGACTCTTAGTGACTATGAAACGTCCCGCTCCTTCTTCTGCTCCAGATTGCGTTATTGCACTTGCATCTGCAACTCCGTGGAGAACAGACAAGCCAAGTGCTGAGCGTTTATATTTTTTTCTAGTAAAATATGTCAATAAAATTACCATAGGCTTCATAGGTCCATCAGTAACTCGAACTGCGTTCAACAACTGTTTGTAAGTATTTATATAAGTTTGAAGTTTCTTCTTAAACATAACTTCGTCTTCCTCAAAACGTCTAGCGATTGACATGTCCAGCTCGAAATTTTTACGCAGCACCACCATTCGACGCAGCATCAATTCAAACATCATTACTCTTGTGAACATAGATGACATCAATAAAATATTTGAGCACACCCCGAATGCATCATACATGACAAATTTAAAAGAATAATTGGAATAAAAAAACGAAAACAGAAACTTGCTAAACATTTTTCCTATAACTGTGAATACGAATATAGTAGAACATATCTGTACTTTATCATTAAATTGTGTGGTACGTGGAAAATTTACATTCCTCAAATTCTTTAGAAAAATTAAAAAATGTTCGCTGTTTTTATTTAAATTGACCATTACGCCTAGAAAATAGACAAATATGTGAGAACTACAGTGTATCTTAGCTATGAGAGGTGAATCTAAAGCTATAATTAACTCGATTGAAAGAATAACGACAGATATGACGACGCAATACGCCTTCAATATTTCATTTACTAGTTTATTTGAACATATTTTGCAATAAAATCCTCCAAGAGTGCGAAACACCAAAAAGGACCGAATAGACATTAAATCCATGACAACAAAAAATTCTGACTTGACTTAACGTTCTGTATGTGACTGACTATGTTTTATTAAAGCCACGTCACTTCTGTCATAAGTATATTTGACCAATAATAATTTTACATAGATACACATCCAGCTGTAAATATCCATCCAGTTATCATGGTCTTGGTGTTTATGATCCTCCCGCAAGTTTGACAGTCAACTTATACTGGTATTCTCAAATTGATGTTATATGTACTTATGTTTCAGTTGATAATTTTATGATGGCATAATACCATTACTGAAAAATTTATGGGAAAGCCAATGATGGTGGTAAACATCAGAGATCATGACTCATGGACACCCACAACAAGGAAGGAATTAGAAATGTGTTGCAACCTTATAAGGCATAAGGGTTTCGAAGATTTACGGATCGAGGAGGGGAAGAAAGATTGGGATCTCGGTAACCTCACTCACACGGCGAAACACAATGTTTTAGTTTTTTCAAGTTAGTTTTTTGTAAGGCTGTGATATCACCCCGATCAAGCCTACCTATTCGAGCCGTAACATGGTTCTCCCACACTTAAAATAGGATTAAAATCCTTTATTAGATTATACAATAATGCAAATGAAAAACAAATTGTGGTCAACTTTAATAGCATTTAATCAAAAATATGAGCAAATTGGACCATCGCCAAAATATACGTTGTAAAAAGATTGACCACACTCAGTATCAGGTTCCCGTCTACTGTGAATAGACGCCACACTGTGTACTTGAACGGGTGTTGTTCCATAAATACCAATGCGTTCAGTATTTTGTCTCGGTTGGTCTCCCCTGAAAATGATATAAATATTTTGTTAATAATATAGTGATATACACAGTTAAGGTTGAGAGGTTTTCGTTGTGCAGCAATGACTTATCAATGTATATCAAGACTTTGACTATACGGTTGGTGCGGTGGCTAGGCAACTGGCTGCCGTGGAACGTGTCGCGGGTTCGATTCCCGAACGGAACAAACCTTTGTGTGATCCACAAATTGTTGTTCCGGGTCTGGGTGTCATGTGTATGTAAAATTGAATGTTTGTAACCGCACCCACGACACAGGAGAAAATCTTAATGTGGGGCAATGTTTTTTTTTTTTTAAAAAGAAAAAAGTATAGCTTCGAAAATGACCAAATTCAATTATTTATATAAAAAACATTTAGGTACCTTTACAAACGAGTAACTGCTTTATTACGAAAAGTCTTAAAACATCAATTTCATTGGTGATCATTTCAGCTAGGGCCGCAGGTGCTAGCAAAACAACGGTGTTCATAAGGGTTTCGGTCAAAATTAATTTATATGCCTGCAATTATATACATGATTAGAAAGTATGGCTGTCAAGGGGAAGAAGAAACCCTTCCGGTTTATCACCTCGCTCGTCATTAGTAACTGTTTTGTTAAATACATTGCTGCGAATCAACAGATTTGAAGAATTAAAAGTGGCGGTCTTTTCAGGTTTAGGCTGTCGGAATTGAGATGAACAAGGGACGCTCAAACGACGAAATACAGCGCTATGGTCGTTATGCTGGTTTTCTGTGAAGCTATGGTATCATTACGGTTGAGCCCACCCATTCGTGCCGAAGCTTGGTTCTCTGGGGCCGCAGGAATGAATAAATTCAATTAACGAATGGCACATTCAAATACAAGACAAACATTTATGACAAACGATCATGGTATTTTTATGCTTGAATCGGCCCATACGGGTCGAAACATGACTCTCCCAAACTTGAAATAATAATAATAACTTTATATTTGATGTCCTATCACATTTAGATTAAAACTGTTCAGCGGGCCTCTGCGAGTAAGCTCCGGCGCCTCGTACGCCTTCCAAAGGTCCAGGATCCTGTGATCCAGTGAAAGGAAGCGAATATTGTATTTTTGTAGTTTTTATGAGTAATGTTTATGTTGAACAAATAAATATTTACATAACTGAGTTATAGCGTATTATGCATTCTTGTGCGGTGTGTGATAAATACTTCACTCTCAAATCTATAGTTGCTTAGCTAACAACAAGCTATGCAGCGGATCACCACACACGACTAAAAACAAATAGGTGTTACATTTTCACCGTACCTGTGTTTGGCCTCTCATTAAAGAAAAAATATATCATTTTGGCACCAATAAACACACAAATCACCAAATACATGTACGACAATTAGGAGACAATATAATAATAATAAATAACACGGTCTATCATCACTGACAAGACTATTGTAGCCAATAAGCCTGACATAGTGGTGAAAGACCGACTAGAGCGTCGTACGATGATAGTCGATGATGCCATTTTTCATGACGAGAAGCTCGTGAAAGCAGAGAAACAATTGAAATATCTTGACTTGGCTCACGAGTATTTTGACATGTGGAGTGTGAACTCGGCTATCATTGTGCCGATAGTTGTGTCGGCAAATGGGTTAGTCCCCAAAAGCCTCGACAACCACCTTAAGAGGCTGACGACAGGCGGATGGATCAAGGGCCTCAAACAGATGGCAGTCTTCCTTGAAACGCCACGTATTGTGAGGAGATTTCTGTCTCTGGAGCTCTAACAACCGGTAGCTTGGACCTTGCTCTCGCTACCAGCTGGCTCCTATTTTTATATTTTTAAATAAATAACAAAAATAAAAATTGAAAAATGTTAGGTTAATTAATAAAACAAGTACTCAAACAACTAAAGAACAAAAAAACTGAAAGAAAATGGCAGCATGCCCTTGCTAGAAGGGTTGACATCCCTGGGTATATGTTGGGATCAGTGGAAACCCTACATCCTGGTTGCCAAATGGTGTTCTTGCAGTGAGTTACGGACTGAAGCAAGCAACGTAAAATATACATAAAGCTAATAATGAACATCATTGTATGATGCTTTTTAAAGGGAATAATGCAATAATATTTTTATTATAAAGGTGCGATAGTAATTATATTGTCAGATATAAATTTATAAATACTATATACTAGGTCGATGTGGTATCCATTGAATAGATTTCAAAAAATACATACTAGGGTCACTTCGACTTCGGGCCCATTTGAAAGACTGAAGAAAACAATATCCACAAGCCTTGGAATCGCGATGCTAAGAGACAAAAATATCTGAAAAATATATTCATACTATAAGTTTGGGAGAGCCCGAGAGATTATCTCCAGCCATCGTAAGCGCGGGTCTGCGGTGGTTGTTTCACTCCGGACGAGCCGACCCATTCGTGCCGAAGCATGGTTCTTCCTCACTTATCATCAGTACCCATTATTTGGAATTAGGACCAAGTTTGGATAAGTGCAGGGAGAAGAAAGAGTACTAATTTACAAAAATGACTAGATTATTGGAAAAATCATTCATTTAATACCTTTCTACTCTAAAATAGATAAAGGTAGGTAGGTAGGAGAAATGGTCAACCAATGCCTGCTATTCGACATAAAAGGTAATAAAAAGAATTAGAATTAGACTTACCCAAAATTTCGTGACGCCACTTTTCTCATTCAACACATCCAACAATTTCGTATAATCATTCAGACATTTCTTTATCTTCTCCATCATGATTTCCTCGCTATTTTCAAATCTTCGAGCTATAGATAAGTCACGTTCAAAATTTCGACGAAGGTCAGCCATTTGACGCCAAAGTATCTCAAACATTATGATTCTTGCTACATTCGTTAAATGTAATACCATATCAACAGTAACAAGGTACATAAACAAGAAATCGAGGTTCATAAGACAGATAAATAAGATAATGCTCACAATCTTTTCTACAATAATCAAAATTGTTATGAAGATAGAGATTGTAATTTGAGCATCTACATCGTCATTGTTGATAGAAGATATTTTATTTACAAATTCAAAAAAGTATTCGTCTTTGAAAATGAAATTGAAAAATATATTTGAATTGTAAAGTGTAATTTGAAATATAAGGTTTACTAAGTCAAATTTTACAATTGCATACGCTTTGTAAAATACGTAGTTTGTCATCATAGTTATAAGTACGCAATAAACTTTGGCTAATAGTTTTACTGCTTCATTTTTACTAATATCAAAATACATTCCCGCAACTAGTTGAATTGCCATTATATTTTTAATAGAAAATATAGACTTTACAAAATTCATCGTTTAAAAATGTGCCTCAATAAGGTCCAGACGTATAGACGGTCCACAATTCAATGTAACACTGACGTGGTTGTCACACGAACACTTACGTTGATGAATCTAGAAAACTTAATTACATTTTGTACTTTTTTTTAAAAAAAACATTGCGTCCTCATGGATTTTCTCGTCTATCGTGGGTGTTATCACATCATATCCAGACCCGGAACAATTTGTGGATCATATTAAAGTTGGCCCTTACCGGAATCGGACCCTCGAAACGTTGACAGAAGCATCAAACGTGCAGTCGATTGCAGTATACTAAATAACTCATGAATACTCAAATCACTCTAAATAACTGTTTTCATGTGGTGATTATGGAACAGATTACATTCACCACCAGATTTTCTCATATCATAGAGATTTTCGAGAAACTCTTCAATCTAGAAAAGGCCTTAACTCCAGCAACTACTCTATCACAGGCTCATGCCACCATCTTATTTTCCATAGGGTCAGTTAACTTATTATTTTCCTTTCATACTCTTTCAGGAACGATAAAAAACGACACAAAGGTTATAAATAAAAAGCGTGAAATAAAACAACACAAAGTTTTTATTCAATCCATCCCCTTAAGTAAAGTCACAATGAAACAACGATTCAATAAAATACTTAGTAAAGATTTATCCGTAAAAATGGCAGAACTGCACCAAGGCTATGATATAAGTCGTGAGAAGGTAGACCATCGTCAGCACCAAGCTCATGTTTAAAGTGAACATCCTTCCCACTGAGTATTTGAAAGGATACTGTTTGAAGATAGTCATTGCATCTGTGACTGCATCGCGTGAAGTTGAATCTGAAACATTCGATATACTCGTATTGTAAAGAAGCTGATTTTCCCATTAATACACGAACTTGGGCAAATCTTTTCTATTAGTAGTAGTTTCTGTTTCTTTCCTGTCAGACTTTTTAACAACAAAATGTCTTATAATGTTTTCCTAAAATGGAATTGCAATTCAAGGCCAATATAATCAACTAAAAGTTTGAATGCTTAGTAAATGCAATGAATTAATTCCTACTACATTTTTGAGAGGACTGAGGCTCTGGAGGCTCTGGGTGGGCTGAGAGAAGTCAACACTTTCTTATCTATTTGACTAATTTGATTATTCATTTTCCTTATTTATCTGTTCTAACTCATATTTGTCTTTTACAGGTAAGTGGCAGTAATCAAGACATCAGTCGGTATGTAGACCACATCATTACAACTGTTACATGAAGGAAATCTCATCGGACTCTTTATTGCAAATTTGCAACACTATTTTTGATATGAATCTTGACCTTGATATGAATCAAGCACTCTTTCTCTTTTTGTAAGGCGATAATCATCAAATGACTTCTCTCGGCCATGGTATGACGAGGCGTGTCAAACTCTTACTTACTAACCCCCCGCCCTCCCCCCATCCACGCCGTTCCTTCCCTCCTGCTTTATGTAGCCAAGACATACACCTTACTGCGCTAGCCCCGCAAAAGCAGAGCTTCTTAGAGTTAATAGTATTGATTTAATTTATTGAGGTAACTAAATCCAATCAAAGTTTTGTTGGTCTTTACTTGCCTTTGCAAACTAACAAAAGTTTGACAACAATCAGTTTCATCTTATCTACCTCTTTGTTTACCATTTCCGCCAAAAATGCTGGTGATAAGGACACAATGAAGTCAAGAATATTTTCGAAAATAATTACTTTATATCTCTGAAACATCGTTAAAATTAGGACCATATAAATAATGGAGGAATGTAAAACATGTTATTTCAAATCAATTCATTTTTATAATACTTACACGTATTCTACCATGTATGAAACTAGAGTAAGTGGCTTCCAATAGTTTAGGAATCATGGTGGACACGGTTACAAATATCTGAAAAGTAAACAATAATGATTACATCAATTTAGATAATAGCATTAAAATAAAAAACTTGATAATAAGGAGGCCCCTGGCGTTATAAAACATAATTTTCTTGATTTTATTGTTAAAGCCCAGGCTGATCATCTGGTGGTGAGTTATGAGTGCGTTGACTTAAAGACTTGAGGATTTTGGGGATTTGGAATGAATGGGCACAGGGTTTAGGAATCCGGTAACCTCAGTACCGGGAACACAAAGCGTGCATTTTTCTATTCCGTATCGGACGCCACTTTAGTTTCATGCGCAATTGTGTTTTGATCCCAAGAATGTCAAAGGATATTGAAAATGTGGCGATTGTGCTAGATCATCGCAATTGAAATGACAGGCTAAGTCTATGAAGAGTGAAAAGAAATTGTTACCAATAGTTTCATTGAGACATTACAAGTCAATGTATCCAACGTATTTTTATACATATTCATACACATGTACAGTTTATCTTTCAAGTTTACTTCATCGCCCTCAATTCTGCATCGTCGCAATTCATGTTTAAAATATTTCGAAATTAATGCCATCCGACGCCAAAACATTTCAAACATTATCATCTTAGTGAGATTAGACATAGTCACAACTAAATCTAAAACTAAAACCCCCTTTGAGCAGTTAGTCATGTTAAAACAAAACACCGCATGAGCTGAAGTCCTCAGAAAAGCGCCACCGTAGAACAATATTGCGGAAAGTGTTACTCTATCATCTAATTTCATATCTGCATTGATGTTTCTGATTTTATCTATAGTAGTTTCAAATTGTTTGTTGTAGAAGAAGCTGACTAAGAAGTTTAATGTGTAGATAAAAATATAAATAAGTAAATGAATGGGTCTGACATATTTTTTTTCAAATAAGAGTGATATGCTTATTGCGACGGTTATTGTTACAAAAACACACAATATATTCTAGTACAGATTGTTACAAATCTGTTTGGACTGATCTTGTTGAAGAAACCGGCGCTCATACAGATGGTCATGACAGTTTTTATAGAGAATAACGATCTTATAATATCCATATTAAATTCAATTTTGGTGCTCAGTTAGTCGGAATGAAGATTCGCAGAGTGGTTGGATGCCAAGGGCCAAAAATAGAACTCAGTGTAGTCCTTTTCAAGTGGCCTTTATCCAGTCGAAATAGGCAAATGATGATGCTCCTTTATTTAGCTTAAGAACAAAATGTTTAGGAAATGTTTTTACACACACAGCTGATGCTATTTTGTTTTTTGATTTTGAACGTTAATTTGTTTCTCACATAGTTCTTTTTGCGTCGACAATGAAAAAATATCTGAATATTAGATTTTTATTCTTTACATTACAGATTCTGACTGACTAGTGGCTATGGTAAATTAGTAGGTAGGTTATATTATGTTGTAATTAAAATATATTTTCATTACATGAAATACTGACGTGGCCGTGTGTACTGGCGTGGTATAAAATTCAAGGTTTGAGTTAAATACAGGCGCTATCTTTTACTATTTTAAAAATACATTTTTATTTTTATTTTCATTTAAACATAACAACGATTAAATGCTGCCATGATGTTACTGTACAAAATAAAAGTAATTATTAAGAAATATAAATAAAAGAAATAAAACTATTCTATAAGTACACAAACTTAACGTACTTACATAGTTTAATTTATGACAAAATTAGGTACTTGACAAATAAATGTAATAAGCAAAACATTAGAAAATACATTATTCCTTTTCTATGAATGCCTATGGCATTAAGACCGTATGTAACTGTATGTTGCATGAAGGTTAAATAAAAAATACATTAAAAAATATGTGTAAATTGCACAATAGCCACAGTATACGTGGCTAATAGACCGACTATGCTGATAATCAGGGTCCCGTCTACTGTGAATAGACGCCACACAGTATACTTGAACGGCTGGTATCGAAAAAACAACATGGCGTCTTCAATTGCATCTCTTGTGATCTTTCCTGGAAAAATAGGGGAGAAAATTGGATATCAAATATCGTATAATCGTTTTTATACCTTAACTAGCTTTTGCCCGCGACTCCATTTGCGTGGAATAGTGACTTCCTGCAGATTTTTGGTATAAAAACTCTATCCTATGTTCTTTCTCGAGTTCCAAACTGTGCCTGTACCAAATTTCACAGATATCAATTCAGTAGTTTAGGCGTAAAGAAAAGACAGAGAAATAGACAGACATATAGACAGACTACTACTTTCGCATTTATAATATAAGTTTGGATCTCATAAAAGACAATTAGACCCAAAAAATATTTAATCTGTAAATATTTTTTTTAACTCATTTGTTTTTTATTATTATTAATGAAAATAATGTAGCTTCATTATATAATAAAGATTTCAATTCTAGTACTATGTAGATAAAGCACATTGTTTTGTTGTCTTTATTGAAAATAATGACTTACTCACTGGAACTAACTGGGAATAAGAGCCCTAATTGCGGTTGAATTGAAACTAGTGAAGCTTTTGTTAGTCAGTTCACGTGATTAAGAGCTGATTTTTCAATAGACAGATAAATGTTATTAGACGAATAAAATTGTTGCTGTCACTGTCTTATACAAGCATTCTGACGCGACAGCATCATTATTATTAACTTATCTAACTAACTAACTTTTATCTAACTGTTGAAAAATCAACCCTAAGTTGTCATATCAAATAAAGTTTTTTCAACACACTTCCTCATAAAGTGGCATGGCATCCCAACGGCAATTAGGCACATAATAACACCTATTATCAAACTGTGACTTTTTCGTAACAATTATTCACTATGGAGTAACAGGGTTCTTTTTTTTAATATTTGGTTGAGTTACTCTCACACTTGCGCTAAAATGCTATTAGCGAAAAGCTAAAAAAAACATCATTTCATAGTCTATGGCCGATGAGCGCGTACAGGAACGCTGGTAATTTTTTGGCTCGACCGGAGTGATACCACGCACGGCCTCACAGAAAACCGGCGTGAAACACAGCGTTGTGTTTCGCCGTGTGAGTTAGGTTACCGGAGGCCCAATCCTTCCCCTCCCCCAATCCCTCCTCAATCCCTAATCCTTAATCCCTAAAAGGTCGGCAATACACTCGTAACTCCTCCATTGCGGGTGTTCATGGGCGGCGCTGATTGATTAGCATCAGGTAATCCGTCTGCTCGTTTGCCGACTTATTACATAAAAAAAAATACTCGCCAATTTAAATCAATATAATTATAATACCTTCGCAGAATAGCAATTGTTTTTCAACAATTAATCGCATTTCAGTTACTCGAATGTTGATCAGTTCACCGAATAGAGCTGGTGTGGTCGTCACTATAAATTCGATAACACCTTCCAATAACGCAGACTGGGTCATCTGTTAAAAATTAATATTGTACACACATTAGTAGGAAAAAAATAATCAAGAGTGTACGGAATAAATAAAAGTGTTGGCAAGCTATACGTCGCGACGAATGGGCCGTGTCGAGCGCAGTAATACCACGGCCTCATAAAAAACCGGCGTGAAACAAACATATTGTTGTGTTTCACCGTATGAGGTTTCCGGAGGCCCCATCAACCCCTACCCGATCCCTAAATCACAACCAACGCACTTGTAACTTCTCTGGTGTTGCGGGGGTCCATGGGATCAAGTAATCTGTCTGTCAATGAAAAAGGGAAACATGAAACGATTAAAAAATATACGTACAAAAAGCAATCTGTGTTTCAACGAAGCAGAAAGAACATCCACGAGCTTTGGAATTACAAATATTTTTGTCAAAAATATCTGAAACAATAAACATTTTATTTTGCAAAAATATAAGTCATCATCATCATCATCAATCAGCCTATAAGTGTCCACTGCTGAGCAAAGTCCTCTTCTATCAAGAAGTTTTGAGCATTAATCACCACGCTTGCTCAAGGCGGATTGGCAAATTATAAGTTCAGGTTTCCTCACGATGTTTTTCTTCACCGTTTGTCAGTGGTGTCTAAATAACTATAGAAAGTACATATAACTCGGAAATAGTCACATTGGTACTTGCCAGGTTTGGAACCTGCACCCTCATGCATGAGAACTATGCCTTAACCTGCTACCCTACCATGACGTTTGAAAAAAAAAACATTTTGACATCCATTTGGACGGCAAATATTCAACCTTACGTTGTTGAGACACCTGCGACCCGGACTAAGCGTTTTGCCTCGTCCTTTATACCGCGTACATCGAGGGATTGGAACAGTTTGCCGGCTGCAGTCTTTCCGTCCGAATACAATTTAGGTGTCTTCAAGGCTAGAGTGAATATAAACTAGTGCGCCTTACCATCAACGATTGCATCACTGCTTACCATCAGGTGGGATTGTAGTCAAGCACTAGTTTAAGGCAAGTAAAAAAAAAACGTAAAATAAACAAAAATAGAAGTGTGCAGGTATTATTAGTAGATACCAAATATGAAAATTATAACAGAAACTTTTCATTCTCATCTATGGACCCCTTATTAGACGGAGAAGACTCACAGATCTTGTACTTTACGAATTTTAATATTGTTTGTCTGTAACTATATTATAACTATTGTCAATTTTGAAGTCATTTGATATTTTTTGTTATTAATTATGGTCTGACTTGATATTGAAGGTACACGTACTCGACCCTTGATTCCCATAAAAAAATGACATCAGATTTATACCCTGTACAAAATTAAATTTGAAAACTTTTGATAACTTACCAGCGGTTTCATTATCACCATATCGTCCTGAACTACATTTACGAGTTTTTTGTATATTCTCATACAATTTCTTATCTTCTCAACCACAATATCTTCGTTCATCTCATTCCGAATAGCATTCATTTCACGTTCAAAATGTTTACAAATTACTCTCATTCGTTGCCATAGTGATTCGAATATCATAATTCTCGCAAAGTGCGTAGAATACATCGCCAAATCGAAAATTAAATAAATGTTAACGCAATGTGATTGAAACTGAGCACAAAAAGTCAGATGAGTGTAGAGACGAGTAGCGATACTTAAAAACATAAGAAATCTAGAGATTCGTATCTCGTCCTTGACTTTTAAATCTACGAGAAAAACGTCAACTTTTCTAATTTTTTCCATAACGGGCACGAAATTTTCTGAATTGAAGAAAAATGCTGTTAGGAAGTTGGCAATGTAAACTATCATTTGGTAGGACGAGCGTGCCTTTCTTCCAACTGTATTGTGCATCGTTATTGATATATTTTGCCATAATAAAACTGTACCGATCATTATACAGTATATTTTGACTATGATGTTCGTCAGTTTCTTAGAGCTTATTTCATAGTACAAACCTAAAGATAGACGAAACATCATTCCGATGTGAAACGACCGAATTATTTTAAACATTGCGTGTATTTTAGATGAATTTGTTCGTATAAAGTTATTGTTAAACATTTCGGTACCAAAGTATAACTGTAGCAAACTGTAGAAATGCAGAAACAGACTTTTTAGTAAAGAACAAGACAATATTGTTTCAATTGAAATACACGACAAATACTAACGTGTCTATTATTTTTATCTTTGTACAATTAATTTTAATAAAACCATACCACAAACCATAATAATGGTATATTTGAATGTTTCATTCTAATAATGAGAGACGTTATAATTAAAATGCGCTTGATAGTTTTGGCGTCCCAAACCCATCACGAAATATGAAATACCAATATAAATTGCCCGTTGATGGTTCAGAAAGATAATACAAATCGAGACCATGATAAATTTGTTTTGTTTAGCTTAAAGTCTAGTGTTACCATGGAAACAGATTAATGGGATGGCGATCATTCTTTTTTATTTTACACTAGATGGCAGTACAATCAAGCGCCCATAAGGCAATACTGACTCAAGCTCGCTACAAAATTATAAATTACTAGCTTATGCCCGCGACTCCGTTCGCGTGGAGTAGTTACTTCCAGCAGATTTTTGGTATAAACACTATTATATGTCCTGTCTCGAGTTTCAAACTATGTCTGTACCAAATTTCATATAAATCGGTTCAGTAGTTTAGCCGTGAAGAAATGACAGACGGACAGAGTTACTTTAGCAATTACAATGTTAGTTTAGATTTAATAAAAAAAAATGTCTTATATTAACAGATAGGAATTAAAAAGATAGGAAATACCCAATGACGTCACAATGAATTATATTTGTGATATACGTTTTCTTTTACTTTATTGATTTTAAAACACAAAAAAAACCATTTGAATATAGCTTGTGTAGCTAACATACCCAATTACATATAAAAAATATTATTATGTTTCACTACAACAATGTTACAAGTCCATATCTTAATAATTAACTTTAAAATTCAAACAGGGAATATTCAAATTCAAAAAAGGAATTTATTGGAATAAATGTGAAAATTGTACTGAGGCCAGCGTGAAAACTGTGAGAGCATTAACAATTCCCACTATGAGTGTCCCGTCTACTGTGAAAAGACGCCACACTGTGTACTTGAAGGGATGGTGTCGGAAGAACATCATGGCGTCTTCTATAGCCTCGCTTGTTGTTTCTTCTGAAATATATAAGTGATCTTTAGAATCATATATGTATATCAGTCGTGTGTACCTACTACACTAGACCTGATTTGTAATATTAAACATTCTTTGAAACGTAATTTAATTAGTAATATGGTAGGTACTTAAATGATCTGTTACGAAAATTTGACCAATTGTTACATATTTATCTTCGTTATGTATATTCTTTACCATTGAAAAACAGGAACGACCCCTTAAAAACTCTGTTTTGAGGCTATTACTTGCGTCATTTGGGCAATTTTTTTTTTTGAAATCGTTACCCATTGCCCTCACTAGAATTTCCTCCTGTGTCGTGGGTGCGGTTACAAATATACAATTTCACATACACATGACACCCAGACCCGGAACAACAATTTGTGGATCACACAAAGTTGTTCCGTGCGGGAATCGACCCCGCGACACGTTGCACGGCAGCCAGTTGCCCAGCCACCGCACCAACCAGGCAGTCAAACTAGTCAAAAATTAAATATGCCATCTACAGATTATTAGTTGACCTTACCCTCTCAAGTTATGTTAAATGATAGGCCAACTTCGCGTCTGATAGGCCAACTTAACCGCAGTGATACCACGGCACTATAGAAAACAAGCGTGAAACGAGGATTGAGTTGTCACTACCGCGAGAGTGAGGGTATGACATGCCTTCCGATCCCCGAATCCTCAAATTCCTAACTTCAAGCCCGGTTCAAATGCAATGAGGCACCGCGACCTCGGCACAGAGCAGGAGAAGGAACAGGGGGGTTTTTAGTCAGTAAGAGTCTGACACTCCCTCCTGCCCGGCCCTGGGCGGGAGAAGTCATTTGATGATTTTCCCCTCACAAAAAAGCCCGGTTCAAATGTATTGCATTTAATTTTGTAACTTTTCCATTCTGGAAACTATTTCTGTCTGCTTACCACCAGGCGAACCGTCTGCTTCTTGGCCATACTTTTCCATTAAAAATATGTTTGTAGGTACCTTTACAATGCAGTAGTTGAGTAGTAACGATTAACTTCAATCTATCCACGCTGGCCTTCACCAGCTCCGCTAGGAACGCCGGGGCAAAAGACAACGTCAGGTCCATCAAACCCTCCGTGATGCAAATCAAGTAAGCCTGCAACCATTCCAAAATCGACCTTAATTATATAAAAATACAATTTGCCTCTACCTCACAGAAAACTGACATGAAACAATCACTGCATTGTCTGTTTGTCGTGTGACTAAGGCTACCGGTTTCCCCCATCCCTCCTTAATCCCAAAATCTCCAAAATATTAATGCCCAAAAGGCCCAAAAGCGCCGATTGCTTACCATCAGGTAACCTGTCTGCCGAAAAACCCCAATATAATATTTAGTACGACCAGAGAATTGGTGTTTTCCTCTCCGTTCGATTTTACGAAGATTCCAACAATGAAGCAAAAAATGAAGTATATAAAAGAAAACTTTTGTTCGGTTAAAAAAGCCTTCGTAATCGAATTTGGCCATTATACGTTTAAAAAAAAACAAAATATTTGTTAACACAATAATACTTACGGTGTAGCGTCGAAATTTTGAGATAATAAAAATAACATCCAATATTTTGGGAATCACGGATAAACCAACTATGAAAATCTGAAACAATTCAACAGCTTAACAGATTAAAAAACTGTTCGATCGATTTAAAATTGACTGTTCAAAATGTAATGCTAAATAATTATGTTTTGTTTATTATTTATGTTATTATTTTTTTATTTCTGTCAAATAAAATTAGTTTTAAAAGCGGTGACATCACTATTATACGCATATCAAAAAATAAATCAGGGCGATTCTATTTTGTCTTCCCACAAAATAAATGATTATTTTATCTTCTTTGATAATTTTGCTACATTTTTTGTCTGTCTCACTCAAAAGTATAGGTACTTTACTTTTCGCCTTGGTCTTGGCCCTTGGCAGAAATTTCTACTTCAAAAACAGGCTTCTGAAAAATGCTTGTATTACAAGTCTTAGCTGAGTCCTAACGAGGTATCCGTCTTTCCTTTTCAAATATCTTAAAAGTATACTTACTAAGGGTTTCATAGTCGGCTTACTTCTTTGAGTTGTATTTAACATTTGCTTGTAAACTGTCATACAGTGCCTAAGTCGTTCTACCATAGCGTTTTCCCCATCAATTCTGGATAACTTCAATTCTTTTTCGAAATATTCACAGAGAAATTGCATTCGATGCCATAAAATTTCGAAAGTCATTATTCTTGTGAAATGTGACAAAATTATTGCCAAATCGGTAAATAGTATGGTGTGGGTACATACGGTTAGTACACAATAATTAAAATGAGTCGATAATCTGATACACAAAAAAACTACTAACAATGTCCTCGTAACTGGTATCTGGTCATATTTGTCGTTATAACCGATCAGAACATCTATTTCTTTTATTTCATTTAAGAAATTATCGAATTTTTCAGTTTCGAACAGCATGCCAACGAGAAAATTAGCTTCGTATATCACAAGTTGGAAAGCGACTCGTACTTTTGTACTTAAATTTGGATTCCATATTAGCTCTAGAGAAAAAATCAAAATGATTAAACTGATTAAAACGCAGTAAATTTTTAATAATCCGGTTATGATTTTATTCGAACTGACTTTATAGTATAAACCGCCAACAATACGAAAACACATAATATTTTGTATCGACAAAATCGATTTTATTGCGTCCATGTTTTAATAAACAAATGCTATACGTGTTGTCGCTCCGAAAATTCATTAGTAAATGAATAGAAGTCGGTTCTAAATTCAAATTTTAGATCAATTTAGTAACGGTACTTCTAATTATTCCTTTTTTAAATATCGAATTCTACTCGTATGTTAGACTCGTTACTAACTTTATTAAGTATTCAGTCACTCATTAAAATTTCGTATTTAATCATTAGTTATATGTGCGTGTTCTGTCATCTGCCTACTCTTTCGAATATTATTAATATTCTTAGGAGGATAGGCAATAGCTTCACGAAGACGGCAGACCGACAGACTGACACTTTTTATCTTTAAGTTTTGTTTGACGTTCAGTCATACGAAAGGGTCTTATTGAAATAAACGATTTCGAGTTACACTTTTACCATGAATATTTTAATATTTCTGTCTATCATGGAATAAAGACGATATGACACAATTTCTTAATACATACTAGATCTAGAACAAATAACGTTTGTGTTCAATGAGAGGTCTCATTAACGCCATGTGTGTGGATTACACTCTTGATATTAACACAGATCGACAGTTGATGATTTGAAACTGTTTAAAGCAAGTACATTAAATATTTATACAAATAACATGAAATGAAGAAAGATAGAGGCTTCAATTTCTAATTAGCTTTTTAATCATTCATTCATTCAGAGAAGTCATTTAAAGATTCGACCCCCTGGGTGAAATCTCTCTCGCCTAGGGTGAGGAGAGAGGGAGTGTCAGACTCTTACTGACTAAAAACCACCCCGTTCCTTCTCCTGCTCCAGACCGGGGCTGCGAGCAATAATGATGATAAAAACTCATTCTTTCCGAAGATCAGACGAGGCCTTCGTTCAACAGAGAGCACTCCTAGATTGATGATGAAACTATAGCTTAGTGCAGTGCAGTAGCAGTAAGGCCTCAACTTTACGAAAACATGTTGTTAGAAACGCACTTTTCCCTTCATGTAATAGCGATGTAAATAATTTCAATATCGCTTACAAGCAAAATGATCTCACGCTTTCCTTTCCATGCAGGATAGCATAGATTAAAACTAAATAGACTTTGGTTGCACTAATAAACCTATTTACTATAATAAGGCGTGTGCTTATCACCTTACTCCATTCATAGTTACAACCTCCATGCTATTTAATAGCAATGAGCTAGGACGGCAAACGATTTGACCTATCAATCTGATGGTAAGCAATCGTCAAAAAGTGAACATCGTGGATTGGACATGTGTATTTCTTTTGTTGTTCTTTTTTTTTTCATGAAAATGAAAATCATAGCTTCTTATCAAGTTCCCGTTTCGGAGGGAGTGTCAGGCTCCTACTGACTAAAAACCCCCCGTTCCTTTTCCTGCTCTGTGCCGAGGTCGCGGTGTCTCATTGCGCTTACCCCGCAACCCCGAGGGATCTGTGGTGGTCGCGCTTACGGTGGCCGGAGATCATCTCTGGTCCGCAGAACCGCGCTTACAGTGGGACGACCAGGGAAAAATCAATCCATTCATTGACCATTAATTTACATGACAGTCCTACTTAACTAGCAAGACAAAATTAATAACTCAGACATTTCCAATCAAACAAACCATTTATAATTTAAACTGGTAGCCATTTAAATAACAGAATAGCAAATAGTAAAGACATAAAGATGGCGTCTGCATAAAGCAGCTGTTTACAAAGGAAATGTCTGATGAAGATAAACTATATTTAATGTCCACCGACGCCATTTTATCCCACCTGCCCGTCGCATTGTGATTAAAATAGAGCCCTATTTTAATGGTACTTTGAAAAGGTATCATGTGATTCTAATGTGGTTGCAAGTGTGGCTGTTATTAAGTAAAAATTGACGTTCAGTTTACCGGATCGGGCTAAGCATAACTAGAGATTGTTTATGCTTGGGCTACACTAACGGGAAATAAAATATTAAACAACGAAAATATATACCTTAACACATTCAGTGCCCCCGACGCGTATGTGCGTGCGAGGAAACGCACATACGCGTCGGGGGCACTGAATGTGTTAATTTTTTTATTTAGTGATCAAATTACACCTACGATTGACGTCCATCATCGCGATAATGAATGGCATTTCCCGTTAGTGTGCTCCAAGCAATAAAATGTATGTGTGGTTTGTCGAATTCGGCTCATTCACATGACGTGCTAAAATTTTATTCCTAACATTGAATCGAATCATAATATATTCCTATAACCACTCGATCATTTCGATCACCAAGAAATGTAAGCGTCGTGATGAAAATAAAATCTATACCAACCTACTAATTATGCTTCATTACACCTACTATTTCTGTTCAGAACTTCATTAATATAATGATATAAATTTAACTCTAGCCCTTTATAAAACGCCACGTCAATACTTTATGTTTTCAGTGTACCACTACACTTGTTGTGTTTCAATCCTCTCAAATTTCTGGGACCAGTAGGGTAGAAGAGAAGTGTTAAACAATGCATTCGTTAAAATCGATCGTATCAGTGCAGACCATGCTGGTATTCCTCACCCTCGCAGGAACCCACCACAAGTTCTCCTCAAACAGATTAGTTACAATCCTGTCAAAAATTTATTGCGTCATTATTGTGACATTTTTCTTACAAACGCAAGTAGAACAATTTATGTATGACGACAGGAGAAAATTAAGAATAATTTTTCAATCAATTTTCTACATAACGCATGTCTTAGTCGGATTATTTAATATGGAAAAGTTTACACCAGTTGCAAACGATATTAGAAAATTCGACGCCAAGCTACAAGGCACTAAGCTTCAAGATGAGATACCGGCTTCCAGATGTTTCTTCATATTATTAATTTTGCTTCGAATTACAACTCATGCTTGGTACTGCAGTCACAATAAATGCTCCACAAACATATTTTTTTATGATATTGCGCTTTTTACTTCACATTTCTCGAAAATAATGATGTTCGAACTGCTATGGCATCGGATGGCTCTCATTAGAAAACATTTTGAGCAAAAATTCAGCATGTACAGGGTTGAAAATGGAGGCGAAAATTTTACAGATATTATAAGAAGTTGTCTGACAACTTATAAAAGTTTACTGGATACATTGCAACAAAGTTATGCCGTTGTCAAGCCATTGGTAAAACAATCCTTTTTACATATTATTACTTTTACGGGTTAAAGCGGTAGACGAGCAGACGGATTTCCTGATGGTAAGCAATCCGCTCCATAAGTGGAGCCAATGCTTCCGCAACACAAACTATTCCATAGTTTTTAGCTTCAGGTAAACATTTTAAGAGATTTGAGAATTGGGCAGGCGGATATTGGAGACAACTATTTCATAGCCGCACTTATGACCACGATCAGATTTTTAGGTATTACCTCACTTAAGTCATGGAACTTTTCTATGTAACTGGCCATTTACAACCTATCACAGAAGATAATTGATGATCAATTTATGTTTGCCTGACTTTGGATCTTCAGATTAAATGAGAAGACTTTTTTACCATGGAGGCCTATTTATTACAACTATCATAAAAATTGTACCATTGTTAATCTTTGTGAATTTGCCTTTACTATTGATCATTTTTCTTGTAATCATTTGTTTTCTTATAACATTTGCAGATACTTTTAACCTCTTTCGTGGCATTTCCTATATTTCTGAACAGTATAAACAGCGCCCTTGTTCTCGGTGGAGCCTACGTAAGTATAAATACTTGAACCAAATTTAATTCAAAGTAGTCATATTTTGCTCAACTAAACTATTGTTGAGCATAACATGACTACTTGACCATATATTTAAACAATGGGAGGCTGATGACGATAATACTTAGTACAATACTGTAGAACAATTTGATATTAACGAAAATATTTCTCAAATATTAATAAAACAGAGTAAATAATTACTATTATTTACTTACGTAACACGTAACTATTTGACGAGGAACTCGATCAGTTACAAGCCACGCTAGGGGCTTATATTCATCAGCAGAATTGAACTACTGACACACGGAAAGGAAAACATCGTGCTCAACCCGGATTATATTTTTTATTAAAAGTTTGAAATCGCCAATCCGTTTTGAGCAAGCGTGGTGGTTAATACTGAAACCTTCTCCGTGTGAGAAGAAGCCTTTGGTCAGTACTAAGGTCTCATAGGCGGTAGGTGACGGTGATGACGATGATGATGAGTAAGACATGCACAAAAGTGGTAACTCTAAAAACGTAATAAATTTTTCAGGCGAACCTAATATCGATTATAGAATCTATATTTAAAGTAATAGCCTGCATGGCGCCAGCAGCCTTCGCCGAGCTTGTAAATATGGAAATAGATAAACTAAAACTACTCATCACCCGACAACTCATGTTTTGTCAAAGTAAGTTGAAGTTCCATTTCACTTTTTAACGTACGCAGAGGGCGCTTTTGTCGAAAATGGTTTACCATTGGCTAACACCTGAAAGAATGGTTTACCACCGAATGTGATACTACTTAATGCATTAATTTTTTTTATTATTTAATAAGTCGGCAAACGAGCAGACGTATTACCTGATGGTAAGCAATCAACGCCGCCCATGGACACCCGCAACGGAGGAGTTACGAGTGCGTTGCCGACCTTTTAGGGATTTGGAGATTTAGGGATTGGGGAAGGGTCTGGGAAGGGGAAGGATTTGGCCTCCGGTAACCTCACTCACACGGCGAAACACAACGCCGTGGTTGTTTCACGCCGGTTTTCTGTGAGTTTTAAAAAGTCAATGTATAATATATAGGTATAACGTTGCATTATAAGTTAAAACAATTAATCTGGTTTGAGCTAGTGCAATGATTAATTAATATTACTATCATTCTTTCTCCATTTTTGAGAAGACCTTTACTCAGTAAGGTGAAGTTTCAGGCTGCAGATGATGAAAAAGAAAATGAAAATTTTGTTCAGTTCTGTTGAATCCATGATACAAAAAGTATTTATTTTTAATTATATTTCAGATAACACTACACGAGATGCAATTGACGACGCCATAATGTTTTTCGACCAGCATCCATTTAAATACTCAGTATGGCGTCTATACATAATAGATGGAAAACTGATACTGAGCGTTATCAGTCTTTTAACCACGTATACTGTGGCTATGGTGCAGTTTACTCATATTTATAACTAAAATTATCTTACACTAGCTGTGCCCTGTGGTTTTACTTGCGTATTTTGCAGCCTATGTTCGACGGGGTTATTGTAACTTGCCAACAGTGAAAAACAATTTCAATTCGGTCAAATAATTCCACAGCCTATTCAATTCAAACAAACAAAAAATCGAATCTTTTATTTCAATGTCTTTATATTTAAAAATTTCGTGTCACGTGTTTGTCCGCGATGGACTCCTAAACTACTAAACCGATTTTAAATTTGATTTGCATTCCGTGTGCATTTTGATCCAATTTGTAAGATAGGATAGCTTACATCTCAATTTATAGTCACAATATTACTTTATTGCAAATTATTTGTCCATATAGGTATTTAATATGACAAGAACCTTAGCCACAGCCACGCGTGGCTGGGTCTGTTAGTATTATTATAGATTATTATTTAGTTATATTGTTATGCTATTCAATAAAGCTTGTGTTTATGCTTAAGTGCGAGTGTTAATTTATTTCAGCTTTCCATGCATAATGGTTTTGTAATTAGAACACTGTAAATACAATAAGGTCTTATTTACGGAGACGCGTTGTTAACATACTAATTCTCTATTATTCTTTTACATGAACCTACTGAAATGATTGTGATGAAAATTTACTCAGAAGTTTTATGAATCTAGAATAAAACATTTTTATTCTAGTAATACAGGTGAAGCGACTAGCAGAAGCTAGTTGTTTTATGTTTACGCGAGCCCATAGTGCAGCCCGCTGCCGCTGATTCAAATGTACAACGGTCTCCTGCGCTGGCGCAGACCACGCCACTCTCCGCGTCTCTGTGAACGGGGCCTCGTATGCATTTAAAATGTCAGTTATGTAATAAATTAGTTGTATTTGTTTTAACACTAGTGTTTTAATTCTTCAATCCAGACTTATTTGGTATCTTTTACTAGTGATTTCGATACCGATGTTGGCATAATATTAGCTAGCTACTCTAACGTTGTTTCACTCGCTGCTCGCCTAGTTTAAATCGCCGCGTGGTGTTTTGTAGTATTCAGGATTGTAGCTTTCAATCAGTGAAAGAATTTTGGAAATCCGTGCAGCGGTTCTCAAGATTACCCCCTACATACTATATTAGTATGGATAAGAATTCACGGACCATCTGACAAAAATATGTAAAAACCAACATCGTAAGTAGTAGATGTGTTTACTTACACTAAACTAAACTTAATCTCAAAAACCTACAAAAACCATCTATTATCAATCTTGAATGGCGAGTTGGCAAACAACGATTGATGGTCCAGCCACTAAGGATTGATAGATTGACGGTTGCCACAAACGATTGACAGCTGTAAATGATGACGTCAACATAAACATCTTCTGTAAATGGTTGTAGGAACCATATACATCATGTTTTCAATTTCGAATTCATCTAAGGAGTTATGAAACTGGTTATTTTATTTGCTCTTGTAACTACAAAACTTTAACTACCAGTGGGGGCGTTTTGCGGTCTCCTTTGATTACAGGGTGTGAATAAAACTTGATGTACAGGGGAAGTAATATAATTGGTCAAAAGTAGAGGTTACGTAAATTATATTTTTTTATTAAGCCCTTCTGTTGATGAAGGATGTGGATAGAGTCTAATTACAATAAATCATTTTCAAAGAAATCCACTCGAACAGTGCTTCTGGATTACATACAATCAAATAAAACTTAAATACCATCTCTAGTGTGTACAAATAGGATTAATACCTACTTTGTTGTATTTTAGGACCATTTTAACACCTCAAAGTTTTTATTTTACAGTTAATTTATTTAAAACTCGATTCATCGAAAAGTTTTAAATGTTTAAATGGAGTGTTCTTACCATTAATAGTTGCACACATAATCTCTAAACTTACATAATTAATCAATTTGTTTTGAGAGCTTCATTTATCAGAAGACGCCTTGGGTGGGGCGAGAATGAGTGTCAGACTCTGACTAAAATCCACCCCGTTCCTTCTCCTCTTCCAGGAGGCTAACTTCAGTGTGGGTAAGAGAAAGAGATATACAAGTTGTCTAGCCCTGTCTCTTACCCACACTGAAGTAAGATTAAAACAGTTACCTTGAACCCGCTGTAAATTATTGTGCTTACACCCACAAAAATACTTAATGGATGCGCTACACTTAATTAAATTAAAACTACTACCTTTTAAAAATAATATGTGAGGTAGAAATGTATTATAACAAGTGAAAGTATAACATTAGACTTGTAATTATAACGTTTATGCCGCTCGCATTGTTTTACCTAATAAACATCGTATTAAAAAGTTACGTCAAAAGGAAATTTAGTAAAAACGAAAGTTTTATTCTGTACTTACTTTAGTTGTATTATAAAATGTTATTAAAACGAAAGAGCCTGTTCTTTTTATATTATTAACGGTTCTTTATGTACATTTAACGGTGTAAATCCGTCTCAAAAATTAATTCTCTTACTTTTATGGTATAGGACGGCGAACGAGCATCCGCATCACCTGATGGTAAGCAATCACCGCCGGCCATGAACACTCGAAATAACGGTGGAGTTACGAATGCGTTGCCCACCTTTTGGTTGTTCGGGTTTCGGGGGTTAAGCATTGGGCTTACGGTAACCTCACTTACCCGGCGAAATACAAAGCTGTGGTGGTGTCACACGGTTTTCTGTGAGGCCATGGTATCACTCCGATTGAGTCGACCTATTCCAGCCGTAGCATGGCTCTCCCACACTTAGCGAATCTGGTATTTACATTTCTTTTAAAAAGTCTAAAAGCTATCTCCGCCTGTTATTTTAGCTTTTGGCTGTTATTTTGTAAGCGTTGGTATAACCCTAACGTGATTTTTGTAGAGCAATTGCCTTTTACCTTACAATGGTAATATCGCGTTCATCGGACGTTTACGCTCGCCACGAGCTGACGTGACGTCAACCTCGCTTCAGCGCAGCGTCGGCATTGCGGCCAATTCGGAGACACGGTGCCGTTCGTAAAACAATAGTGGCAAAAAATTGACAGATGGTACTGGTGTAACATTTGGTAAAAAATTGTCGTTAAGGTGCCTAGGTAAGTCTTTTCCAATTCTTCAATATTACTGATTTTACTAAAGTTTTGGAGGAACCAAAGTGATAATTCTAACTCAATCACGTCAGAAACGGACTCAACAGAATGAATAGCCAGCTTTAAGTCAGGAGTAATAACCTTGGCACTTTCTTTTTTTGACTGCACGGTTGGTGCGGTGGCTGGACAACTGGCGGCCATGCAACGTGTCGCGGGTTCGATTCCCGCACGGAACAACTCTTTATAAAATATCACCTGTATGTATATGGAATGCAAATAAAGAATTGAATTGAATTGAATTGTGTGATCCACAAATTGTTGTTTTGGGTCTGGGTGTAATTTCACGCTAGTATTTTAAAATACTAGCACAACGTTTTTTTGTATTTTAAAAAAAAAGACTTTCTGTCCTACAAAATACTGATTAAAGTATAGCTTCTAAAAGGCGTTTAAAATAATTGTAAAATTGTCAGACTGGGATTGTACTTCACCCGAAGATAGAACTTTGCGTCCACCCACTCGTCCCGCGAGGCAGTTCAGAATACTAAATACATTTTTATCGTATCCCAGTAATCTTCAGAACCTGTATAAAACTTGTTCGACTTCAATAAAAATAACACGACCGTCTTACATACCATTTTATATATGTGCATATATGCAGATGTATTAAAAAATTCGTATTTATTGTTGGTAGTAACTTTTCTGCTATATTTTGTCATTAGAGATTCTTAATGATGATAACTAGTATAAAAATTATGTAATTAACTACTACAGGACATGTTTACGAGAGAGCTATACTTTGACACGAACGAGCCGGCTCGGCAGGAGTGATACTAATTATAGCTTTATAGAAAACCGTCAAGAAATAACGCCTTGCGTCGTCGATACCTGAAGCTCCCTTCCCTCCCATTATCGTTAACCCCCAAATCCTTAATTCTCAAATTGCTTTCACAAGAAGGCAACACACTAGTAACTTCTCTGGTATTTTGGGTGCTCACCAGAAGGTAATCCGTCTGCTCATTTCCCGACCTATTTCCATTTGTAAAAAGGAGTTGAAAAAACATTGTTCAACAACAGTCACAAATTACGAAATTATTAATTTATAGTCGTTAATCTAATTAATACCTTAATCACATAACACAGTCATATATTTATTTTTCTTAATGAAAATGTCAACTTAGGAGCCAAGTAACATTTTTATCGTCTCCTTTCTTCAATTCCGAAAATGCTTTCTAAAGAAAGTTGGAATGAATGATCTTAACGCGAAGATTATTTTTACACTCAAATATGAAACATACTTTAAAAAAAACAAGTGTTAAGTGTTTTTTATTTATTTTTGTTTTTTTTTTGCGACAAGCCTGTGGATTTAAACGTACTATAAAGTTACCGCGCCATTGACTTGGTTGACATATTATTCTTAATATTTTTTATTCTTAAGAAAACTTGACTATTGGTAATGAAATAAGGTGTCATATTTTAAAACAATTCCTCTTAAGACAGGATAGACAGAGAGTGAGGTTAAAGTCAAAATCATTTATTACAACTAAACTATAAATAGGATATAGTATGCCTGTCTGTTTGTCAGTAAAGCTAGGTGCTCGTTCCAAAGTGTAGATTCGAATGGAAAAGACCGAACAAGAAACTCTATAAAGAGAGAGAAAGGTAGAGAGTTCATTGAAACTTACGACATTCATGTAATTTAATCAAAAAATCAATTCGAATACATACAACATCAGATCTATACCCACAAAACTAATAATGTCTCGACCACATACAAGCAATGTAATATTATAAGGTTCAATTTCCAATAACAAAATGCTTAGAAATATATACAAAATCTTTGGTACTGCAATCAAAGGTTCAGGAAGGATCGCAAAGCAAATCGCATTAGTACGGTACACTAAGCTGGTAGCGACGTGGAATCAGCTGCCCAATACGTAAAATAATGTGCATTATATTCCTATTCCAGACATTGGTTGTGGTCCAAGTCAAGAGCGTTTATACCGCATGGGTTTTCAAACTTTAAATTCAAAGTTAAAACTTTTAGTCAATTTACTTTTTGATTATATTATTGACCATTGACCATGTTTGTATCTCACAAGAAAATATCACTTTTTATAAAATATTACAATATTGGTACACTTTAGTAAGTTGAATAAGTGTAGGAGAACCATGTTTCGGCATAATTCGTCGACGATTTATAAAATTAAATAGACCTACTTGGATTTTTAAATTCTTTTCAATTTATATCTTCAAATATTCGTTCCTTTTTCCTGATTGGGTAATTCAGTAGATCCTGGCTCATGTAAAATAAGAAAATCATTTTATATTACTATATAAACTTACATAACTTTGAGCAGATAACTTTTACAATTGAGAACCCCACTAATAAGTTTTCCAACTCAAGAATCTATCCAATCTTTTACTTGGAACCGTCTGCTCGGTCAATAAGATAAACCAATTGATCTACGAGCTTGTTAAAAAATATAAACCACTATACCGCCAACCATTTCCATCTTGCACCACTCCCTAGGAATTCCGCGCAAGATTTCTTGCTACTATATCCGTCCACTACATATTTCTAACTCAGTATGCGGAACCTTTTTGTCACGAGCGAGAGGAGATTCATACGGAGTTAGCTCTTGTATAAAACATTACTTTCCTTTCTGTTTTAGTCGGTCTATAAGAAATATCACGGTTTTGTCCGTCGACTGCTTAAATAGAATTGTAAATTTTTGGACATTCATATTTTAGTTGGTAGGTGAGATTAACTGAAGATGATGAGACTAATGCTTTAACTGCACGGTCGGCGTAGTGACTGGGCAACTGCCTGCTGTGCAATATGTCGCAGGTGCTATTTTCGCAAGGAACAACACAGTTTGTGTGATGTCTGGTATGGGTGGCTTGTGTATATTTGTAAAAGCACCCATGATACAGGAAAAGTTTCGGGTAGATAGAAACTAAACTTAAGTCGCTTTAGATTTAAAATTATTGACACACAAGCCTTATGTCCAGAACCCTTAAAAAAGTTTAAGTATTTCCATTTATCGTTTATCTGTAGCACTAACATAGTTTGCGAACAGTTAATGTTGTCATAAAGGTCTTGTTCCAACGTTATTGGTTAGAAATTTGTAGGAAATTATATGGACGAAAACGCCACATCTATAAATTTTCCAACCACATGGAAAGCAGAGCCATAAATATTTTTACCTAGTGTTAAAGATTGTCATGTCTGGCACCCACATTTCTAGAAACCGATGGTGCGGTAAACGGTACTTCAATGGTGGTTGGCTCCGTATGATGGCGGCCATTGTGATGAAAATGAATGTGAATTTATTTGTGGAACTCATATAAATCAGTCGCCTACAAGACACCGACACGAATAGTATACTTTAGTTACCGGATTGGCTGGGGATAATTTTTAATACATACGGTTACACAACAAGCAATGCACTCGGGTATTGTCGCAGCCGGGATTTTTGCTGATAAAGAAATGGACTGGACGGGGCTAGAGAGACTGTCAGACTTTTGCCAGCCGAAAATCACCACGTTCCTTCTCCTGCTCCAGGCTGAGGCCACGGTTCTCACTGCGCTTGCACTCCAACCCTGGTTAAGATCAACCGATAGTGTGTAATTCAGTTATAGTCTGATATAATCTCCAGATCCACCCAGTGCGATAGTAGCCAATAGATTATTTGTCTGTGTATTGTCACAATATAGCGTACAACGACACAAAAATCAGTAAGAAAGTGATATACATTCTTCTAAGTATGTAGAGCTCAAGGTCAGCCTAGGTCAGCCTTTCTTACGTCACCAAGGAGAACGAAAATAAAATAACCTTTTACACCTTTTTAATTCACTTTCCACTCATACGTCAAACAAAACGAGCTCAGAAAAAAAATACAAACATAATATCCTATCAGTCTTTTTATTTTAAAAATGCTTCCTCATTATAACTGATCCGAACATCGGACTAAAAGATTTACAACCAACCCTATGCCATTAATCTATACAATCCACATCGTGATCCTACTGAAAATGCTCCGTTTACAATAAATCCAGGGGCTATTAAGATAATTTTATCCATTATTTGTTGAATAAACGACGGTCAGTATAAATAAGGCTGTGTGCACATTAGAATACCGCTACTCAGTCATGACCTACCGCAAGGTAAGCACGACTCAGATTTATGTCTCAATGGATGCATTTTTGTCCTCTGTACAGAGGCGGATTTGACTAATTCAAGGCCTTTTTCTTTTTATTAATTGTCAGTTTTCAAACGGTTAGCTGTATGTATGTGTGATTGATTCCATCTTGTTTAAACTAGGAATACTTATACAAGTATTTTTAGTCCAGTCTTTTAATGATTTCATGTCACCAAAAATAATAAAAGCAAAATCTCAACCTATACCTACACTATCTTGTTCTACGTAGAAATTGTATGCTTGTAAACGCATCCACGACACAGAACATAATCCTAGAATAGGGCATCGCATTTTATAAAATGGCGCCTGAAATTCCGAGACAATATTTAAAATAGACACCCAATCG